GATGTTTGATAGGAAAGAAGGAGCAAACAACACCAGAGCACCCGCTAACCACCCACATTGTCAGTTTGACACGTCGTCAGAAATATACAAAACAGGAGAAACACAATGCTATGAAAGACACTAACCGTATCTGAAGCCACTGTAACATGGGCGTTGTGAAGCCGCCACATAGGATGACGGTTGCCAGGACGATAATCATGGTGGTGGAGGCCATTACCTGGCGAGAGTCTGTGTCTGTCTGACGGATGGCCAAAGCAAAAGCAATGGCGCCTCTCAGACCTGGAACGGAGGGAGAGAAGTTCAGCATTTATTTTTTACATTTACTTTTAGTAAGAGGGTTTTACGGCACTTGTAACACAAATAGGTCTTACAAAGCCCAAGATTAGAGGTTACTAGAAAGTAACAGACAAAGAAATGGAAGAGGAGACAAAAGGTTGAAAAATGTTTGATAGGACAGAAGGAGCAAATCACACCAGAGCACCCGCCACCCACCAACACACATAGAAGGATAAATAATATTGTACAAGCATTTTAGTTTGCCCTGGGTCTAGGGAGTGTTACTAAGACAAAGTCTCTGGAGTTACCTTTGTGCGTTTTCATTTGAAAGATATGTTCTCAACTGATATTAAGGGAATCCCTATAAAATCGGGTATTTGCTAAAAAAATATGGAACTTCGAGTATTTGGACATTCTTACAGAAAAATATTTCAAGAATCTGTTTGTGAAGGTCCAAAGACCTAAAGGAACCTCTAACATACATAAAGATGTATTTGAAAGCGGTGGGGGGGGGCAAAAAAATTCAAGCAAAACGTCAAGAAATGCTAAACTTTACCCCTTGATAACAACACTTTCCGTGCCTGCAAGGTAATCAAGTTTGGTATCGTCGGAAAGGCCGTGATAAGAACTATTCGATTATTGCACTTTCGTTTTCCTACGGAACTACTCCGGGGACCCATTTGGGAATGTTTGAAGACCCTGTACTAAATACCGGTTGGCCACTTCCGTCACGCGACCGGACCGTGAACTTTCATTCGCCGAGCCGGTAGCGACGAAGGGGATTCCCCTCGCGGGCCATTGTTTACACTGTGTGCCGCAAGACCGAACGTGAACAATTTCGTTGCATTTCAAAGATTGTTCTATTGTGTTGCCGATTTCAACGCTAATAAATCTTGTTTACAGGTTTAATAATTATCGTTATCATCTCTACTTGCAATTTTGGGTAGTATTTCGGCCCGAAATCGCCCCTGCTGGTGGGGGGCCCCATAGATTTACTATGGGGGATCAAAAATAAGCCCGACAAGGACTACCAAACACATGTTCCTTCTTATTCGTCTTCTCTCGTCTGTCTATCACCTGATCGTGATTCGATTCAATGTCTTCTTCTCTCGTCTGTCTATCACCTGATCGTGATTCGATTCAATGTCTTAGTCTAACTCTTAGTCCTAGCCGTTTTGAGCTAATCCAGGATCTAAACTGTTGAGATTATACAAGTAATACTTAATAGCCTTCAGTACTTTCCATGATCATTTTGCCTTCAGTACTTTCCATGATCATTTTGCTGGGGTATTCAAAGTATAGATATACAGGTTTCTGTTGCCCTCTGCAACAAAATTATAGAATCTAGGACCAGGAGTGGGATTTGTTTTGTTTTGATGGCTTCCCTAGCCTTTCCGGTTGTTCACAGTGAACATGTCTGTTTAGCGAAGATCTAGATCTAGCAATAGAAATCTCTAGAGCCTAGTGTTATTTAAAAATTTATTTTTACTTTATTATTTTGTTTGTTTGTTATATCGGAGACCAGTGTTCCCAAATCCGGTTAACCCCCCTTCAAGCAAGATTGAAAGAAGCGACTGCGCAGAATATAGCTATTGGATAAAATAAATTGAGAAAATATACAGATCTAGATAGTATCATGTAGTGCCAGCTTACAGTGTGCCTTTTTGGTTGCATAGTCTTAGATTCCACCATTGCAAAACCAAAACACTTGGGAAGAATAATGAAGGGGAGGTAGCAGCTGGGGTTTTTTTTGGCTCGACAAAGTTTCGACTCTTCTAATTCTAAGAAAGGCAGTCACCTGTCAAATCATTTAAAGACTTCTTTATGATGTGGAAAAGACTAACAACAAACTCAATTTACCTAAACAATTCAGTATGGCAGCATTAACATATACATTTAGACGGGCATATCGGCATGCAAAATCTTTATTTGTGTTTTTCTCGGAATGACTTTTCTGACAAATCTGCTACACTATTTTGAAAAGATCTCAGAAAGTTACTGTTAGAGTTGGTCCAAATTTTCACACAAGCCCTTGAATGTATACCTACTACCTTACATAGACATTTTAGCTTCTTCTTCCATCTAAGAACAGAAACTGAAAGACAAATGAGAGTTTACATTCTTGGGGTGGAGATTCAATTGTGAGAGGACAGTTGGGGGGGGGGAGGGCATGGAATTGATGTAAAAACTTGTCAAAAAAGCTTTTAAAATAGCCTGTGCTGTATAGTATGATGTAAACGTGGTGTATGTTGCTGAATAATGTTGGTTTTTAGTGAAAACCGAGATGGTAGTGATTGCACAATATTAAAAAAATTTTGTGTTTTTCTTGAAATTGCATTTTCGGCTAACTGGTAACTTTATAGAAAGTGTATCTCAATAACTAACAGTCAGATTTCAAGAAATGTTCACACATTATTCCCAAGATATGTGCCTTCCTCCTTAAAAGAGCACTTTTCCTGAATATGAATTCTGTTTTGAGTTATTTGGCATTTTTACGTGGCAGCATCACCTAATATGTAGAACATTGGTGAATGTGAGGGTGAAATTTTGAAAATGTATGATAGATATTTGAAATCTGAATGTGTAAGGAGGAGAAGCAAGCAACATACAACAAATATACCAAATATGAAGCTTGTATCTTTATTGGTTTTGTAGAAACACTGTTTATAAAATATATAGAAATTTTGCTGAGTCAGCACCATTTTTTGCCGTTATTTTTTTTCACAAAACCTCTTTTTTTTTATTAGTGTATGTATCCATTGATGCATACAAAGAGGCAACAAAATGGTTGGAACTGAGTTTTGGTATTTTCATTAGCCCCCCCCCCTTAAGAAAGATTGAAAGGATTAGATCTATTGCACATTTTTCTACTTGAAACTTTTTGGTGTGTGGAATACTTGACAAGCCCAAGGTTCACCCACACTCTACCCCCCCCCCCCCCCCCCCCCCCCTCCCTTCCCTTAAGAGTCCCCTGACATAAGCAAAGTTTTACCTCTAGACCACAACCCCCTCCTCCCCCACCCACAGTACGTTGAGTGTGAGTGCTGAGCCGCGGACAAAGGTTTACCTGAGAACATCATCATGTGCTGGAAGTTGGGTCGGATCTTGTTGCTGCGGCCCAGGTTCAGCAGAAAGGACAGCGGGTAGACGTTGAAGAAACGAGCAACGATGATGGCCAGCTGGTCACGCGATAAGGAACAATTTGCTTCCAACATTTTGTTTCACAACAGCAATTCACTCGTACCAACTGCAGTGAAGTTGCTGAACACACAGAGCTACAAATGAGAGAGAGAGAGAGAGAGAGAGAGAGAGAGAGAGAGAGAGAGAGAGACAGAATGTTTTACGGAGCGGGTTGTCCCAGCACGTGAGACATATATACTAATGTCCTGTCTTGTTCTGTGTATGCGTGAGTGCACCTAACCTTTGTAATATCCACTGCCATTGTTAACGACCAAGACAAATTTCTCCCTGTGAGATTAATAAAGGGTCATTGTCATTGTCAAGTCCGTGGTACTTTGATACTATATATAGCACATGTAGACTCCTCACTTTTATCAAGGACCTGTGGAGACAGCACGTATACATCGCCGGCCGGTCTTTTTGACCTACCAAACACATTTGTGAGGGTTTTTTTGTTTGTTTGCTTGTTTTCTTTAAAATTTCAATATCACAATCTGTGAAATCAGTTGCATGCCCTTGAGAAATACTTTGTCTAAATTCAAATTCTAAATGTTGAAAAAAGAAAGCAAGGAGTCCAGAAAGCAAAATTTTTCTGCAGAGAGAAAACTGGTTTCATTTGTTTTAACAAGTGCACCTACCTAACGTATCTTCTCTGGCTGTTATTGAAACATTTACATTTGGAATTTTGATAAAATAGTTCTTGAGCACATGTAACTGATACCTCAGGTATAAAGAAACCGGAAGAAAGTTTCTTCCCAAAATGTTGGGCTTAAAACATGTGAACATCTGGCCGACAAAATGTGTTTCCGAGTGAAGTTGGAGTTGTTGCCCCTGCTGGTGTCCAGAGGGTGCTTGTCCCTTACTTCCCTTAACCTACGGCGGCGGGCCAGGACATGGGGTGGGATTAGGTAGGCAGATCACAAAATCACCAGATAAGGATACAAAAGCCGAGAAAATGAACCCGGCGTGCCACTTGTGTCGCTCAAAGGTGAAGATGGAGACGCCGATGTACAGGAACACAAAGTTCTCCGACAGGAAGTTCATCAGCTCAAACAACTGCCGAAAAAAAAAAAGCAATTAGACATGTAGTGTTTATTAGGGCTGTACCCCGGTAGCAAACCCGCTCGTGCTTGCAAGCCCCTAGTTTAAGTCACAAGCCTCAAATCACTAGGTCAAATCATCAAATCAAATCACCAGCATGATAAGTTGAGTCTAGCGCAAACTGTAACCTCCTTGGTCTAGTCTAAACTTCAAGTCCACAGCAACTAGCAATCCGCGAAGCCACTCTTGTCAGACCCCCTCATCATCCCCACCCTGCTTGCAATCTGCGAAGCCACTTACGTCAGAAAAAGAGAAAGGGGGAAAGTGAGAGATCCCGCCCAGTGTCACTGCGCGGCGTAGCTCTGTAGTCTGCTCGATTAATCGAAGGCTTTGCAAAGCAGCGGACAGCCGCAAGTCTCAAATCCCGTCCGCAGCAACAAGTCCCACGATTCACACAGTACTGATTTGCGCTAGGCCAAGTGAATTTTCCCAGGACAAGCTCGAAACATGACCTGCTGACTTGTGCTGTCTCGATACAGCGAGCGAGCGGCACGCCGCAGGACCGCTCGATGTGTTCAAGCAGCAGTACCGCTCGCTGTGTGAACTTTGAACCGTGGAGGAAGGGAGAAGCTGGGCTTGTTTTGGTGAAGAGAGAGAAGTTATTTTTAACTTCCCGCCATTGATCAGTTAAGCGAGTGGATAAGTGAGAGGGAGCGTGGTATTGTAGTAACAGAGACCTAGGTTTCTGGTAGTAATAAGAATAGGTAGACTTAGATTACCCTAGAATGAAAAACTCCAGGGGTCGTTGTGATTGGCTTTTGTATCGTATGTAACCTATTTTGTAGATGTGTTACACTCACACTGACATAATACAGAACATTTAGGAGACGGGCTAGGCCTACTTCAACCCAATGTCAGGACCATCCTGGGCTGAGAGGGAAAAAACCCCTAGCAGAAAGACGGAGGTTCTCAGTAAAAATTTCTCCCCATACGGGAATCGAACTGAGGTCTTCTGTGTGCGGCGATGAAGCACCCGGCTCATGCACATTAAAAATAAACAGGCCTTAACATCGTAAGAATAGCCGATCCAACATTAATTTTTAAGTGCATTGAATACAGCTTTTTGTTTTTTACAACCGAACTATGTAAAAAAACAAACGATCTTGCACTTTTGGTGCAAGCCTCTAAACGCAAATAACAAGAGAATCTTTTGTAATATGTACTGAGCCCACAGCAACGAAGGTCCGCGGCGTCACGATACAGTACAGCAGGACTGTCCGCGAGTCACAACTCACCGGAAGTTCCCCCCGGTAGCAAGCGGGAGGCAAAGCAAATCACAAGCCTGCTCGCAAGCCTCTAGCGTGAGCCGTCCGCTGCTTTGCAAGCCTTCGATTAACCGAGCAGAATCCAGCCCTAGTGTTTATTTATATCACCGACAAGCTGTTCAACTGCACAAAGCCCACAAAGCAAAATGTTTCATGAGGGGTTGCTTTTTTAAAAAAACAATTACGATTTAAATTTCCACAAAATATTTCTTCAGCACAGGCAACCTTTACAGCAGATTAAAAATTTGCAAAAATAGAACTGTCCAAAATTTTAGTTTTTAGCTTCCACAGGTTGAGAGACTTTGGGAAATGAAAATTTACATTTCTTTGTGCCTTAACATTTTTCTGTAAAATCCATGCAGAATTGTGTTTTTAAATAGACATTAATGGCATTGAGCCAAAAATTATAAATTCTTAAAAAATGGCCACACTGACGGAAAAAGCATGTTCCTTACGCTTGACTATTTCGACCAACGCCTGATTCATTATGATGCCTCACATATCTCTTAAATCGAAAAACAAAAACGACTTGAGCCGACTTTTGGCCAGTGAGCGAGGCTGAGCATTGCCACTTTACACAACAGTACCTGCTTGGAGCGATGTTTGTAGAGTGAGTGACAGTAGACCTACCTGCTTGGTGCGGTGTTTGTAGAGTGAGTGACAGAAGACAGTAGACCTACCTGCTTGGTGCGATGCTTCGACTCTGTGGACAGGTTGTTGTAGGTGTAGTGGGCCTGGGTGATGCCACAGAACAGGACAGCCACAATACCTGGGGGCCACCGCGAAAGTTGTGGGGAGGCGGGAAAGAAAAGGAATAATTCAATAAAGAAATGAATAAATAAAAGATTCTGATTGATCTGCGTGGTAAAATTTGGTTTACAATAGCAAACACAATTAGAAAAATATACATAAATTCACTTTAGTTTTAGTAAGAGTTTTACGGCACTTGAAACACAATAAGGTCATATAAGTGCCGAAGGTTAGAGGTGTTACAAGAGAGTAACAAACATAAAAAAGAAGGAGGAGAGATAAAGACGATAGATGTTTGATAGGAAAGAAGGAGCAAACCACACCAAAGCACCTGTCAACCACCCACGTCGGTTGGCTTGAAATAAAATAAATAAATAATACATTCTTATACATCCACGTGCGAAATTTTGGTTTACAATAGCAAATATATATACGTTACTACACAATTATAAAAAATATACATAAATTCCCAATATCACACCAACACAGAACAATCTCACAAACATGCCATTGATGGTTGCCACTGTGCAGCACCCTGTTATTTTTAGCTCGGGTTGTCGTGTCTTGCTCAAAGACACACCCCAGTGACCCTCTATCTAAACCCTGTGTCACCGACACTTGCTTGACATTACTTTTGAGTCTGAACACACTCTTCACTTAACCATTGGAGCAACTTTCAAAACTTCCTCCCCATCCCACACAGCAATTCATTACACCGTTGTACGTGAAACTCAATGTTTGGAGATTTATTCTTGGTTGGAATGGCTTATTGTCTGTGGCTTGGTATTTGACCTAGACCAGTGTTTGCTGAGCACCCACTAACCACCCACCGGTAAAGTCAGCGGCCTCAGCGGCCTGGAATGTGCTGTAGGACATGACAAAGAACAGAGCCGTCTCCAGTAGGGGGAAGTCCTGCACCTTGGTGAACTTGGTCAGCTGGTCACCCCGTCACGGAAAAATAACACAGTTGGATGACAAGAGGAGCCACCGGCTCTGGGAAATCTAACAGTTGGACAAAGAAATGCTACCACAGTATAGAACATTTGGGACTCATCATCATCATAACCGCCTAATTTACACCATTTCAACATTTTCGATAGGAAAGAAGAGGCAAACCACACTAGAGTACCTACCACCCACCCACCATGATAAACTCAACATTACACACAAGGATACGAAAGCCGTGAGGACGCCCATGCTGGATCCAATAGCAAAGGCCCCGGCAAACACACCGGCAAATTTCCCGACCGACTGGAAGAACGCCTCCACGCTGAAGGCGTCTGTCGAGTACTCTCCGTACGTCTCCACCGACCTGAAACACAAGAAGTACCACGTAAACAACCACCTGAAACAAAAGAGACGGTCTTGGACAGGAGCACGTTGGAGCAGGTTCCAAGGAGTACCCACTGTGTTCTGGTGAGAGGGCAGCCAGGCACGAGAACAAAACATTGATCGTCTCGTGGGAGGCCATCTTGTGCAGGGAAACAGAGGCTTTCGGTTTTTTTAAACGTACGCATTTTGACACCTCCGTCCACACAATCTAGATATTTCAGGAGGTGGGCGAGGGAGTGAAAGGATAACTATTGGAACCCTGTTCTTCGTATTATTGTAAAGAGCACTGAGCACTTTCCTAGTGGAAATGCACTATAAAAATGTCTTTAGTTTTAGTAAGCGTTTTACAGCACTTGCAACATAATAAGGTTACATAAGAGCTGAAGATTAGAGGTGTTACAAGAGAGTAACAAACGCAAAAAAGAAGGAGGAGAGATAAAGATGATAGTTGTTTGATAAAAAAGAAAGAGCAAACCACACTACTATTACTATGATGATGATGAGAAAACCATGGACTTACTCAGAGAGCACTATAGCCACAGCATCGTTGAGCACACTTTCCCCGAACACGAGGGCGTAGAGGTCAACGTCCACATGCAGGTCGGCGAACAGGGCAAGGACCGTCACTGTAGGCAGGGGGAGGTAACAGAGACAGGTCAAAACACACCAGAATGAGACGATCAAGAAACAAAATAAAACTGGTCTCGGTGAATTAAACTCTGAAACAAACCATCCGTCTTTAACTCTGACCGTGCATTCAACAAATTCAGTAAAACAATTTTTGTAGACAAAAAAGTTCTTTCTTTCTTATTATCTTCCAGAATTGCTGGAATTTAGGGTAGAGTGACCTTTTTATTTATCATAGTATCATCATTTGTAATTACTGCACTTAAATACATCATTTGGGAGAAAAAAAAGTGTTGCAAGATTTCTGGCTAGAGTCGGAGTCGGACACTGGCAACATTCATCTTGTCACATGTGATATGTGTGTCACGACACAGTGGAATCAGGCGCTCGTCAATTTTGGGGCATATGGAGTTATGGAGAATGCCCCAGAAATAACTACCCGCTAGAGCTTACAACACCCCAGAATCCGGCTTTAAATCAAGAGGAAGACCAAGAAAGACCTGGCTGGATGGGGTTAAAAAGGTCCTGGAACAACATAACATATCAATCCCAGACGCTACACACCTAGCACAGGACTGAAACCTGCACCTCCCCTCAACATCCTAAGGATACCAGAGGAAGGAAAAAGTAAAATTAAGTAAGTAAAATATGGAGTTATTGGTAGCATCTCAAAGGTTGCTCACTTGTCTTGCTTTGGAATTTTAAAAAAAATCTCCCATTTCTCTATAATAGAATTTGAGATGATTGCAACCAAAAAAGATGGAGGCTGCCAGGTGTCGACGGTAAAATTAACGAGAAAATGACTGCTTAATTTCCGTGACTTCAAAAGCGTGAGCTGCAAAATTTACATTTCCTGTTCCTTTAATCAACGTTTTTCGGTAAAACACATACAGAAAAATGTTGGCTTCTTCTATTTCCTATTTTGACGAGCGCCCGATTCCCTCGAGTCGTGACACATTCATCTCGACCTTTGTCTGTATCAACTCACCGGGGTCGGTGGCGGAGATGATGGCTCCAAACACGAAGCAATCGTTCAGGGAGATTGAAATGTTGCTCATCAGGCCCGTCAGTCCATACATTATTCCGCTGGAAAGGAAGGAAAAAAACCCTCAACAAAATAAATGTCAAAATAATTTCACAGAGTCAGAGCCATGGCTTTAAGGTTTAGTAAGAGTTTTGCGGTATTTGCAACACAGTAAGGTCATATAGATAAGAGGTGTTACAAGAGAGTAACAAACACAAAAAAGAAAGAGGAGGAGAGATAAGGATGATAGATGTTTGACAGGAAAGGAGGAGAGATAAGGACAATAGATGTTTGATAGGAAAAAAGGAGCAAACCACACCAAGTCATTGCTTTTCACAGACATCTCTTTCCCCATATGATTTAGACTGAGTGAGCGGTAACAGTAGCAGTGTATTATTTATGGCTATTCAGCGCAGTAGCCGCCATATTTCACAAGGGCATTGTTCACACTAAGAAGACATTGCTTTTTTTTAGTGTATGTGTTTTTACGACCCAATCAATCCAATTTAGATTATTAAGGAGGTGGGTCTCCACACAGTCTGTTAGGGCCAACCGGGGCTGAGAGGGATACAACATCCCAGCAGAGAGACCCGGGCTGAGAGAGATACAACATCCCAACAGACAGACCCGGGCTGAGAGGGATACAACATCCCAACAGACAGACCCGGGCTGAGAGAGATACAACATCCCAACAGACAGACCCGGGCTGAGAGGGATACAACATCCCAGCAGACAGACCCGGGCTGAGAGGGATACAACATCCCAGCAGACAGACCCGGGCTGAGAGGGATACAACATCCCAGCAGAATGACTGAAATTTTTAATAAAAATTCTCCTCACTCGGGGAGTCAAACTTGGCACCCAAACAGAATGTGCGTGTGGTTAAAGTATGCATGACAAAGTTCATGTAATGTCATAAGTACCTCCAACAAAGAAAAACTGAAGTTTAATGGAACATATCTATAAATATACATCTATATAATGTAATAATTTCACAAATGTTACAGGCTTGCCAACTTTTCTGAAACCCAATCAGGGAAACCCAAAGTGACACGATCAGGTCATGTGATGACAAACACACTGACACCCAGCGGGACTCGTTTTGCTACAGTGTGTGTGTGTGTGTGTGTGTGTGTATGAGTGTGCGCGCGGGTGAGTGTATGTGTGTGTGTGTGCGCACGTGCGTGTGCGTGCGTGCGTGACAACAAGGCTCCTGACTGGCCGAGTCTGGGACAGTCCCTGGAAATGTGGGACAGTGGTCAAGCTTGCTAGCGAGACATTCACAAAACACAGAGAGAGGGGGGAAGGAGGGAGAGTGAGAGAGAGGGGAGGGAGGGGGAGGGAGAGGGAGAGAGAGGGCTTACCCAACAACGAGCGTTGATATCGTCGTTCCAATCAGAGCATACGTCAGGATAGCTCCCAAGTTTTTGAAAAAATGTCGCTGTGAAAAATAATAATAATAAGAAGTAATAAATCTAATTTGCATTGCCCATTTTTATCACAGCGAGATGCTCAATATGTATTTCAATAAAATAAGTGAGGCAAACCCAGGCATAATTGAGAAGAGTTTTTTTTTAGTTTGTTAGTGTTTGAGAGTTTAATCGGCTGCTTCCACTGTATGCTTCCCAAGAAGCTGAGAGAATGTTCCTGTGTCTTCTCGGGTCTGCTGGGGTAACAATATAAATTGTGAAGCACACAGAGCTTGCTATAGAGCAGGGAAATGCCACCTATCATTACGATGAACGTGAACCAAGCCTACCTTCTTCATGCTGTATCCAGCCTCAAATATAATCACGGGTAACATTACGTTGAAAAACAGCTCCGGGGAAAACGTCACCTGTGACAGACAGCAACACACGAGTCAACACGAATCACACACTAGCCGGAGACGACACTGGGGTTTGATGATAATAAACTGGAAAATTTATGAAGTTGTATTTGAAAACAAAAAGACAGTTGATAGATACAACTCATACGTATAGGGTTCAACAGAAAGCAACTGATCAGAATAATGACAGAATAGCTATTATTCTGGCGAAAATAACGGTTGAGAAAAAAATCCTTGAAAACAGCATCCTTGACTAGTACAGCTCAAAGTGTCAAACCTGACTAGAAAATCTTGAGTGGCCTAGAAAAAATACTAAGAGCAAATGTTACACTTTCATACAATTATGACATTGTTTCAAGATAAAGGTAAAATTTAAATACAACTCGTCTCATTCAGAAAAAATTTTCATTAAAATAATGTAACAAATTTTCAATAAGGGATAAGTAATAATAATGCAAGCTAACTTTTAATAACATTATATACAGAAATAAGAAATGAAACGAGCCTACTACCACAACCAACAGAACATAATGCATTTTGAAAAAGCACAGAGAAATTCGTCACCACAGCCAATCAATTCAAATGTACTTAGCACAACATTAAAAAATTTCTAATGCTTCTTGCTGTTTCTGAAATCTCATCTGTGGTATCAGTTGCATATGCTCAAGAAATACTTTGTCCAAATTCAAATTTTAAAAATGATGTTGCTTTGATTTCTGAACACCTTGGACAAATACATTTCCAAACTGTTGAGAGAGTACAAGTTTTTTAGTCTTTAGCTAGAGTTTTACGGCACTTGCACCACAATAAGGTCATATAAGTGCCGAAAATTAGAGGTGTTACAAGAGAGTAACAAACACAAAAAAAGAAGGAGGGGAGATAGAGACGATAGATTTTTTATAGGAAAGAAGGACCAGCAAACCACACCAGAGCACCCGCCAACCACCCATGGGAACTGGTTTGACTTGCCATGATGAGGGTTCGAGACAAAAACAGGCACTTGGACTGAACAGATAAAGTAGCAGACAAGTGTTATGCTGTTCGGGTGGAAGGAGGGAGATAGAGTGAGAGTAATCTCCCCTGATTTATTGCAATTACAAAAATGAAAAATCCACGACTAATTACAAAAACATAACATGAACGATCGTAAGAACTAATTATCGAAATATAACATAAATGATCGCAAGATCACACGTTCAACACAAACAATGACAAGTACAAAAGTGCCGGCAGCACCCCCTAGCTTTTGTCGCGCCCAACTCACCGCTCGCTCCAGGGGGGGCTCCTGTAGCGGGGCGATCACCGTGCCCTTGAACACATAGACGATGGTGTCGGGTGGACCCGTGGATGTGTTGGAGCGGTTCAGGTACACCGACAGGATGTCTGGCGGGTCCATGGAGTAGTACGACTCGTTGGCCGTCAGGGTCGCGTTGACCCGGGGTGGGTGGGTGGCCGTGCTAGTGTAGCGAATGATGGCGCCCACTATCAGACCTGTACACGCAACACAGACCATTTCCATATAAGGGCAAAACAACAATTTTCAGTAATTTTTTACTTTCACTCACATATCATGCTCAGGTATGGTATATCATGCTCAGGTATGGTATAGGACTTTTCTTGTCGATTTCTAAATGATTTTAATGAATTTACACTTTTAAATATCTGGGTTGGGGGGTTCAGGATAGGATTACCCCCTCCCCCCTCGCCCAAAGGATTTCTTTGGTGTTTTGCAATTACGTTTGGAATTTCCTTGAAAACAATTAATTTGCAACGGTCTTTTTAGTGGTCCAGACTTGGAGGAGAGATTTAAGATGACAGCATGTTTGAAGGAAGGAAAAAAGGAGCAAACCACACAAGAGCATCTGCCAACCACCCACATCTTATGATGTGTGTTCCGCAGCCAAAGATACAATAGTTTGAACCTCAAAACAGTACAGTACATCTGCGTGTGGGAGTGAAAGTAAAAGTTTAACCAATTCAGAGTGTCTACGTACATGGTAACCGGGCACCTAGTCTCAGTATCTACGTACACAGCAACCGGAATGAAAATAAATCAATATTTGTCTTGTGCTGTCACTTGCTGAAAAAAAAAGAAAGTCATACAAGCGTCTTGTCGGGCTCGCCATCGTGACCGGTCAGTGAACCTGTGCGTGCGCATCACAATGTGAGTACCGGTTGGTGTCACCAAAGTTCATTCAAAATCTGATCGCTGCGAAGTATAGTTCTCCGGAATGGGGGGATTATATTATTGATTTTTTTTAAAGGTACAGTCGGGGGAGGGGTGGGGTAGAAGGCAACATCGGATAACAAAAACTGAACTTGGAG